TTATGGCTAGTTCCCCGTTGAAATAGAAGGTGTAGTGAACCACTGTCACCGGAAACAAAAAATTGACATTCCAACCAAAAAATTGGCAAAAAATTCTTAATTTTATTAGGTTCTTCTTAATAGATATTTTTGTATTCTTAGCGTGATCATCCAACCAAAACTGGCATTACCTTTTCATAATAGTAATATAAATTTTCGTCTCAGGTCATATAATTTTCTGGGTCTGCCACTGCAAAGATAACTTTATTTCGTGTATATCCATGAGAATGGGTACGATCTTATAAGGAGATAAAAGAGAAAGAAAAAAAAGTAAAATTCACTTATTTTTATGTGTGAAAAAATTATCTAATTTTTTTAAAAATTATCTAATTTTTTTAAAAATTATTTGATCATATATATATATATGAGAAAAATATTTTTCAAGCAGTTTGATATATATTTATCTCTGTCTACCAAAAAATTATGTTATTTTATTTATTTATTTTCCTATGTTAATTGATTCACTTTTGAATAGTTATGATTCTTTTTTTTTTCTTTTTCTTTATCACCATTGATCCATCTTTATACGGTTATTAATTAGTAATCGAAGATAAAATTATCTCAAGCAACTTGAGAAAAGATAAGCCATATATATATAAAGAGAAATATTTCTCATATTATAAGAGATAATTTTCTATGCTATACACATATAAAAATATGTAAGGCTCATATGAAGCCATGTAAAAAAGAAAAATATAAGTCCCACGTATTTTTATATATATATAAAAAAAATTATTTCTTATAATATAAAAAATATTATTCTCATATATAATAAAGGGATGGGCAGGTGAAAGATCAGTCTCGTAATTTTATAGGCTAAATTAAAAAAGAAAGTTTGGACTAAACGGCTTTATTATCTATCATTTTTCATTTTTTAGTACTTTATTAGATTCCCTTGGCGTGTGTCTTACGACACAAGTCCTTCCAGGGCCAACTCTAGCAGTGTTATATGACTTTCTTTTCCTTCTTTTTTTGACTGAAGCCGTGTGCATGGCTCTGAAGTTATCGTAAAGTTGACAACTTGTACTTAAAAAAATATAAAGTGTTGAGGTTCCTAAAAAAATAAAAAGTATTGAGGCATATTCTCTAGTTCAATTAAGTAAGATTCTATTTGCAATTTGCATGTCGCAGGGAGGAAAAAGTAGAGTAAGGATATTCTAACTACTAAAAATTCTTACTACTAACTTACTACTCATCACATCACCATTGGATCAAAGAGAGAGAATATTAAAAAAAAATTGAAGAGAGAGAAAATGTTAATCTAATGGTGATTAGGTAGGTAGTAAGTTGGTAGTGAAAAATTATGATAGTGTGAATATCTCTCTTCGGAAAAGTATTGGTTAAAGTAAACTTTAAATTTAAAATGGAGGAGACAATTAACATGCTCCAAATTAAGTTGGAAGCATCGATCCCCCAGTCAATTGACCTATTGCTATATGTCACAATCAGTTTTTTCTTTTTTATTTGATGTTATTTATTTCCTTAAACTTTGTCTTTTACTTTACTACTTATTAGTCCTTTTGAATATTTTTAAACAATGCCACTTGCAATACTATAACTTTTAGAATCAATGTTAGTTTATATTAGTTCATTTAAAAAAAATTATATAGAGCTTTTTTAGACTGATTTAAAAAATTAATTATTTCTAATAATTTAAGTATTTTCAAAGAAACACTTAGAGAAGAAGAAACCAATTTAGAAAATAATAAATGAGTAGCGAAATAAATCTTCTTATGTTAAATTTTAAATTAATTTGTAAGAAAATTTTGTCTATATCGCTTTCTTTATAAATTATTTACTTTTATATTCAGATTTAAGGTTTTACCTCTAATTTTTCTCAAAGTATTTCTGAACTAACAACAGAAGATTGATTATTTCGAGAAATAAAGATTTTTAAAGTGAATTTTGCCATTATCAACAAATATTATAATTCTAAAGTCAAAATCTCACATTTATAACTTAGGTCATGCACATATACCGAGAATATATCCCCTATAAATAATGGTCAAACCCTAGCTACAAGTAGGAGTATATTTTTATCTTCCTTTATGTTATCACTTGCGGTTGATCTATCATAACTTTGATTTATTCGAGATCTCTACAGTGAACCATGAATTCTCTACTTGATAATCACTTATAACTTAACAAGTGACATAATTTTGCAATGGCACAATTTATATTTAGATCCATGTCAATTTAGAAACTTAAATTCAGCTAATTAAAGAATTTCACCAAACGCCACGAATGCATAATGTATTTTCTACATTCTTAGTGATAAATCAAGATTCGTCGTTTGTAATTCTTTAAAATCTTCGTCAAGAACCAAGATTAAATTAGATCACACACAAGTAGAAATCACTACTTACGCAATTCTAGATCAAGAGTAAAGAGAAAAAAGATAAATTCAATTAAAATATAAAAACAAATAAAGCAAACTCTCAAGATTAAGAGCATGTTTGAAATCTATTTTGAAAAATATTTTTTTAATTTTTAGAAGAAAAAAATATATTTAATAAGGCTTGTTTGATAAAAAAAAATTGAAAATTGTGATTGTTTTTTTATTTTTTAGAATCAAATTTAAAAAACATATCTTAGTTGTTTTTGTTTTGTCTTTTGACTTTTAGTTTTCAAAATAAAAAACAAAATAAAAAACACTTATTTTATTAACTATTCTACAAAACAATTTTAATATAAAAAAAATTAGAACACAATCAAAGATACAGTAAACTATAAGTTGTCGAGATGCAAATATGGGCCAATTTCTGCATGCAGATCCAAGTTCCAGCAACAACATTGTTTCAACTTTCAAGCTCACTTAGACATCCAATCTAGTATTGGAGCTCTTCATGAGAGTTTTAGAGATCCCTTTAAGCTCTATATATTGTATTCATTTTCATAGATGTCTAAAACTCAAGATATGCTCCAAGTACCTAACAATGTTAACTATTCAATTATGCTGAAGAATGCCAATAAACTCAATTTTGAACCTAAACTCACAAAATATGTCCAAGATCAATCGTTAAGCACGTAAGAGGTATAATATATGAAAATCATGTTTATCATGTACAAGATATCACTTTTTTATTAGTTAACTACATTTGGTGCGATGAAAGATAATTTGTGTATATAAGTGAGGCGTAATTGGAGTCAATTAGTCAAATCAGTTTTGAAGGGAGCATTTGGAGGTGAAGATAGGGTTGAGGGAGCACAAAGTATCACTTGAGCCAAACAAAGAAAGAAGAGAAACATCCTCATGCCAAACAAATGAAGAGGAAAAAACATTACTTAGCTACTGTAACCAAAGGTAGATAGATACCATTTCCTTTTCCTCCCTTTATCTGAATTGAAACCTCCATATACGTCTTTTTTTTCGTTTGTGGTCCCTTCACATTCTCCTAGTTGCATGATTGGTGAGGTGAAGTTGATGGGATGAGTCTGATGATAGCTGGAAAATGGAATTTTAGTTATCAGCTTCAACTTACACTCTTGATTTTTCATTCTATCTCTATCGTTCTCTCAATGATGGATCAATGCTCCTTTTCTCTGTTTTCACTCAAGCTTTTCCATTACACCTTGTCTAGTAAACTTGAATGATGATGTGACTTGTAATTTATCAAAAGTGACATTACTCTTAAGACTTTTTCTCTAGCAAGCTTGAATAAGTTAGGAATTTCACTTTTAATAAGTTACAAGTCATGTGACATCTATGTAATGTTAAATTTAACAGAAAAGTCACGTTTTCAAGTTGGAGTGAGTAATGTTAAACTTAACAGAAAAGGGTGTAAAACTAGTTCTTTGTTCAAGATACTAACCCGCGTTCAAATTATTCCCAAAAGGACTTGGTGTTGGTGCCACTTAAATTAAGCTTCTTAGACGAAGTCGTTGCCTTTTGCCAATGCAAGAAAGTTGCAATTCTTCTTCTTTTCCTTGTTATGTCTGAGTGAGTATGTGATGGACACAATTCTTTTTTAATATACATATACTCTATGAAGCACCGACACTTCAAAAACTCCGACGTGTCGTGTCCGACACTTCTCGACACTCTCTCACACTCCGACACTCCCCGACACTTCAACGTGCGTTGAAAAAATTCAAAAAAGTTCAAAGGTTGCGTTTTTAGTTCTATCAATTAGATTCGTTGGATTTTTATTATTATTTTATTGAATTTAATATAAATATTTATGATATCTTATGTATCTTTGCAAAATTAATGGGTATTATAGGTTTAGCTTTATTTTTTTATAAAATTATTGAATATTAAATATAATATACGCAACATAAATTAAAAATATTATTCAACATCAAAACGTGTCCTAACGTGTCGAAATCTAACATTTTTTAAAATTAACGTGTCGAAGTATCGTGTCGTATCGTGTCCCGTGTCGGTATCGGTGCTACATAGCATATACTTAACTAACAATTTTTGTACAAGTCATGAATAATTATTTGTAATTTTCTAGTGGTTACGTGCCTTCACGTCTGTGAAGTCTTACAACCTTCATGTGGCATTTCTTGCAATCTAAGAATTTCCACCACTAAAACTGGATCGGAACGTTCTCAAATAGTTTTTTTTTTTATTGCATAGATTTCCTTGGATCGTGGAAGAATCATGTGCTATATATCATAGTTTATGAACCAGTTGAGTCAGTTGACCACTTTTAGTACCTTATCATATATTTCAAGTTCATGAATCACAGTGAGGATGCTATTTTTTTTTATTCTACTTTCAATGCATACCCAATTGCTGTTCTTCAACAGAAATTATTCACATCAGCTAATGAAGCACGCAGCACCCACAATCTTGGTTTGTGGTGTTCTTTCTTTTAGCTAGAGCATTTGTTTGTGTTTCTTTTATGGTATGATGAGCCTCTATTATTTTTACATTTCCCTCAATTTGTTCATCCTAGTTTTGCATCTATAGAATAGTGTTCAATTATTTTTCATCTGTTGGAGAGTGTCCAATGAGGAGGTCATGTCTTCCCAAATGCAAACTTGCCCGAATAATGGGTTGGCTGCAGATTATTTTGGGAGGGTTGGTCATCTTGGTAAGCATTTTGAGTCTAACTAGATTATACTCTGTTGGTTTTTTCTTCCACAATGAAGATATATGCCAACATTTCTATAGTGTGAAGGATGTTGTTTATGATGGTTTTGATGCCAAAGCACTCTCTGATCGAGTTGGAGAAGTATTGGATAGGTTGGAAACTTTGCAGGTCAAGCTTGAGTCAAAAGTACAAGAAATGGAGAAAGACGAGGGAGGCACCTTTGATAAGAAGTTTTTAGAGGATGAAATAGTTAGGCCTCTTCACAATGCTAATGTTGCTCTAAGACAGATTCGGCTTCCAAAGATTGAAGGAAGGAACTCCACATTGAAGGAGGATCCTTTGATTAATTTTTTTGTCAGAGAGGAGATTAGAAAATATATAACCCCAAAGGAGAATAGAGTTGGTAAGATTAATCTATATGGGACGGACAAGGTTTATAACACAATTGGTCATGCTTGTGTTTTGCACAAGAAAGAGCTAGAAGAGTACATGGACTATGACATTGGTTCCTACTGTGATGATGATTGGAATTTAGCTCAGAAGCTTATGCTCAATGGGTGTGATCCATTGCCTAGAAGAAGGTGTTTGACAAGGGCTTCAAAGGCTTACCAGAAGCCTTACCCTATCAATGAGTCACTTTGGAGAATACCAGATGGCAGAAATGTGAGGTGGGGGAATTACCACTGCAGGAATTTTGAGTGCTTATCCAGCAAGAACCCAAAGAGGGGCTATTCAAAATGCATTGGATGTTTTGAAATGGAAAAGGAAAAGCTGAAATGGGTTTCTAATAGCTCACTTCCTGCAGTGTTTTTGATCAGTGATGTTTTGGCAATTAAGCAAGGAGAGATAAGGATTGGACTAGACTATGGCATTGGCAGTGGCACATTTGCTGCAAGAATGAGGGAACAAAATGTGACAATTGTCTCAACGGCTCTAAATCTTGGGGCTCCTTTTAATGAGATGATAGCTCTAAGGGGTTTGATTCCTTTATATGTTACACTAAATCAAAGGCTTCCATTCTTTGATAACACTATGGATTTGATTCACACCACTGGTTTCATGGATGGCTGGATTGACTTGTTGTTATTGGACTTTATACTATATGATTGGGATAGAATTCTAAGACCAGGAGGTTTACTTTGGATAGACAGATTCTTCTGTAAGAGAAAGGATTTGGATGACTATATGTACATGTTTCTTCAACTCAGGTACAAAAAACACAAGTGGGTTATTTCTCAGAAGTCAAAGGATGAGGTATATCTCTCTGCATTGCTGGAAAAACCTCCTAGAGCCATATGAACACAATTAATTTCTTGTTTTTTTTTTTTCTTTTTAATATTATTTTTATGTGGGTGTATTATTATATATGTATAAGGAATTAAGAGTTTTTTATTTTATTTTCCTCCTGTTTTGGATTTTAATGGAATAAGATGTTAAATATTTAGTCCCCTTCAAAGTACTGTTTTGTAACGCCAAGGCCTATCGGTTTAGCCTAATCAGGGCCCAAGGATAATTCATTGCCCCGTGTAGAAGATGAGCCCAATATTTTTTTGGACAAATTTAATATTCTATATATAAATTGTGGACTCACATTGCACATGATCAATTCATTTAAAGGAAAAAAAAACAAACATAATAGCTTGTGCAAGAAAAAATTGTGACGTACATTTACAAAACATTATTATAATCATTCTTTGTCAATTCATGGAAAATTTCTTTAATAGAATGAGAGTACGAATTTGATATTTTTTTTTAGGGTTCGTTTTTTTATTGTCAATGTAGATAATTTTTTTATATGGAGTTCAAAATGATGTCGTTTTGAGATAGAAATCAAGATATGTTTATAATTATAATTTATTTCAGGATTATAATAATTTTTTTCATTATAATTTTTTAATTTTTTATCCAAAACAATGTCATTTTGAGAGAGAATATAATTAATTTATCTATATTTATTGTAGAAATATTAAAATCATCTTTTTATTAAATTTTTTATTTTAATCTATGATTTTCTTTATAATTCTCTTTTTAAATTGCAAAAATTTCTCCCTTTAAAGTTTTAATATGAATGTAGGTACAGCGGGAGTTTCTCCAATCCATGAGAGGGGCAGCACGAGCTGAATTTAATATTTTATATGGAAAGCAGCTACTGCTGAATAGTCAGGTCAGGGACGTTCGGTGAAATAATATACCCAAGACTCTTCATAAGATGCTATAAAGTACGAAATGTGTGACTTACAATCCAACACGTGAATGCAGCAGATAGACTCTCATAGTCCCCTATTAAGCAATGGCTAGAGTTATAGGGGAATAAGAAATGGTTATATCTGAGTGAGTAGTGTGATTTTATGTTCAGCGAATTTTATGTTCCGCTTCCCCGCTGAATGCTTGATTTTATAGTAGATAAAATTTTGATTTATTATTATAATTTTATTAATATTTCAAATGTTTTTATAATTTTTATATTATAATTTTATATTTTGTTTTATAATTTTTTATTCTCTTTTTGATTTTACGTAAAATGTCAATTTTAACTATTGAATCAAGTAGTATATTATATGGATAATGTTTTTCTTATGTCATTGGAGAGAACTTACCTCATGCTATAGACCCTTCGAAATTTGAGCCATCAATTTTTATTTTTATTTTCTTTTTGTTATAGTGTAGGACCCACTTGAAGATGTCTCTATAGGAGATAGTCTTGTCTCCAATGACATAAGAAAAAGCAATCTCATATTATATACATAGAAAGTAATTTTATTGAGAGAGTTTGATGATTGATACTAGTGCGTGACTTGCATCTTTTAATTTTTTCAATCATTTTTTGTAATGCTCGGCTTTGATACCAATTGATATAAATTTTGGGAGTGCTTCACCTAAAAAGCTAGTCAGTGAAATAGGAGAACCCAAAATCTATATAAACCCAACATTAGAACCCTATGTTTTCGATGTGGGAGTAGAAGTCTCATATTTTGGAGTAGGATCATAACCTTTCACTATACTCTGCAGCCCTGACGCCTGGGCTAGCTTTGCATTTACTAGCCCTGGATAAATACTGCAATGCTAGCGTTACCATCTGTTCCTCTCGATTGCAATCGAAAAATATAGTTGAAGGCTCTCATACCAAGTTATTACATACATACAAGGGTAACTTTATTAATGAGAAAGCTTGACTTCTTGCATATAGTATTTTTCCAAATAATTCATATGATGATTTCTTATATAAATAAAGTATAATTTGAAAATAATAATTATATGCAACAACAATTAAATATGTTGAACTAAAATAAATTACCCACTACTGACACTTACTTAATAATTATCTAGAATTTATCCACTAAATCAAAATAAATCAATAATCTAGAAAATAACAAAATAATAAGATTAATAAACTCATAACATAGTATTTTAAAAAAGGTAAAAATAAATTATGACGTGTGTGAAAATATTTGTAATGCAACACAGCTGTAGTATCGGTTTTCTTTTGTTCCTTGAGTTTTGTACAAGTGTTCATGTCATGATAATTGGGAACCGTTTTGCCAAATTATTGTATGCGAACAGTATTTTTTGTCAAACTGTCACATGATATAATTCGTTATAATTGATAGTGAATTATATTTGTTTATGATTTTACGACACGTGATCACATTAAGTATTAAATTCATTATCACTAATAACGAACTTCGTCTAATCAGTTTTTCTCTATAAAAATATGTCATGTATCACAAAATTATTAATGAACATAATTTATTATTAGTCATAACCAATTATATCATGTGATAATGTGGTAAAAAATATCGTTCAATGAAATTTTTGCCACACAGTTATGCTTTAATCGATGTTCGTTATAATTGATAAGCCTGGACCATGAACTGTGTATGGAAAAATCTGGACCATGTATTCATTATTCCAAAAACAGTTGGCACTTGGCAGAGGCCAATAATGCACATGCCAAACAAGATAACATCTTCTTTTTCTTTTTCTTTTCTTTGTTTAGGAGCAAATCTCTATTTTACTTCTCATAAAATGTGTGGCTGTCATCCATTTGGTCCGTGCCTAGATGGGAAAGTCTTCTTTAGCCTACCAAATGTGAGGCACAGATAACGTTTCCATAAAGTACAAAGAATAATTCCCAAGGTAGTGTAATTCGACAGCATTTTTATTATTAAAAAATTCAAATAATTTCATGCACGATTTTTCTCTTTTTAAACTTTAATTACTTTGTTCATTTTGCACCGTTTTTAAATCCTACTTTGGAATTTAAGTTTGGAAAAAAGACAGCAAGTCATTTTCACTTTTCGAATGAAAATATTTGTTTTTTTAACATACACTAAGGCATATCTTTTTCTCGCATGTAAAGGTCCTCCGTTTCATTCAAGTTGAATTTTAAGTGTAAAATATAAATAAGACTGTATTGTTGTCATTTTGTAACTAACCTTCTCAAATTTTCCTTGTTATATGACTTAGTTTCTTATCCTATAGTTGGAGTTAAATTTTTTTTTTTATATATAAATATCAATCATTGTCCAAAGTTTTAACTGATCAGCCTAATTCCATTTCGAGTTCGAGTATTTTTATCCCTTTTAAAAACAACTCTTAAAAATTAAATTTATTATCTTTTGAGTAGATCAAATTCTAAAGTTTAGTCCAGTGTTACTAGACGAATAACTCTTGGATAAAAATATTAATTTTAATCACACTTGAAGACTTTCTCAATATGCAAAAATTAATTTTAATTAATCACAGCTGAATTTTTTTTTAAAAAAAAACATTGGACTGAAAATACTATTTCATTACGAAGTCATAAAACCTTTAACTAATTTTTTTTTAAGGATAATTACATTAACAAAGGGAGATGAAATATTAGCTAGTGAACCAGGCCTGCACAGCAAAGCACTAAGTAGTGAAAGAAACAAAAGCAAGATATGTTTTAGTAAGATGAGTTGCGTGTCACGTGAGATGGAATCTTTTTATGAGTAAGCTTCAGTCCTATCCACCATCACCTACCATATACAATGTTGTCCTTCTAATGTCACCCATCACTATCTTGTACACTCGGATCTGATTCCTCCTCAAATACATATATTTATTAAATTAAGAAGTCATCAATGGCATCTTTTTTCTTTTTGGAAAAATCAATGGCACCTTTGACATAATGATTTCAAGTTTTCAACCTCATGTTTTATATGATGATTTATGAAATTGTATTGCACTATGTAATTATGTATAAACTATTCAACTTTCTTCCTATTAATTGATTAATTGATTGTTTTTAAAACAATGATCAAAATGCCATCGTTCATTAAATTTTTTTATCCAAATACCACGCGGACAATGTTACTACTGTCCAATGAACTTGGTAGCCAATGATTTTGTTACATGTGACTCACTTACGCACGAAAAACTGATGCCACGTGTTCGTAGCCAATAATTTCGTGACGCGTGGCACACTTTTGTAAGAAAAGCTGGCTGAACGAAGTTCTCTACCAGGGATAAAGAACTTGGTGCGCTACGTGGCACAATCTCGTTGCCCGATCAAAATTAATGTATTAATCACAATCAACAAAAGAAAACGAAAGAAATGACTATTTAATTAATGTACCAATCCCCAATCACAATTAGCCTACCAATGAGATTAACTTTTGACTATATCAATCATAATTAATGTATCAATGACCAATCACTTTGGAGGGTCATAACTTTTAATTCAAATATCCAAATCAGATATTTTGTATTTTATTTCACATAATTTTTCGAGATCTACTCAATGACACCTTATTTGACATATTTTATCTCTCACAAATATTGTTTGAATTTGTAACAATAGTATCACAAACAATTAATGTACCGATCACCATTTACAATTAATATACCAATCAAAATTAACTGTGATAGGTACATTAATTATGAATGGTGATTGATACATTAATTGTGAATGTTGATTGATACATTAATTGTTTTTATTTTTTATTTTTTTTGAAAGATACATGTTTTCCGAATTCAGTCTTCAATATTTTAATTTTATCATAGCTTTGTTTGTGGTAGAACATTAGAAAATCATGCTTTTAGTTTCGTACAAAATATTAGAACAAAGGCCAGAATAAGATACGAAAGAATATGAATGGCAAAAAGAAAAACGAGAAAAATAGTGAAGTTGGTCATGATGATGATCCTAATAATTGGAAGAAAAAATAGTTTGACTAATAGTTGAAAAAACTCGAAAGATGATCATAATCATGCATGTCTGAGAATCTAAAAAGTAGAGATGAGAATATATATATGGTTGTATCGACTTTTCAGATCGATTGAGAATAAAGTTACCAGTGTCTAAATTTATATGAATTACCTGACACGGACAATGATCAGATTCTACACGCAATACTTTTTTTATTTTCTTTTTCTCTAATTTCTTCAATTTTTTATTTGTAATTAACACGTCTTATCTCACAAGCATTTTAGGCTTCTTTTGCATTTTGTTGTTGTTGTTAAAACCAATTTTATAAACGCAACAAAATATTTTAGCTTTTCAAATGACAGTGAAGGCATTCTACAAGAAAATGCTAATTAAAATCACCAAAGAAGATAATAAGATTTTTTTATTCAACCACTCTTTTGCACAATAAAATAAAAGAATATATTTTCTCAAGATCATAAAAAAAGATAAAATTCATTTCTTTTTTTTAATGAATTTTTTCGAATTTTTTAAATGTTACATGAGATAAATTGAAATAAATTTCTCCAAAAATAAAGAGGAGAAACTCCAAATCAAACAAACAAACACGAGAAATATTCGTTTATTTTTATTTTATGAAAAGTCGAACCCTAATTACCCAGCCACCCACCGGGTCCACCCGAAAACATGGAAGGATATTATAGTAAAAGATGCCGCCAATCCCTAGAAAAATGATGAAACGTCCCGGAAGATGGGCAAGGGCAAGACCGTATTTTCACTGTCCTCTCATGAGTCACGGACAACCCTAAACGCGAAAACAAAACAAACACGGAAACACCTCATCACGCACGCCACCTATAAATGAAAGCCTCACCTCCTCAATTCAAGATACAACGAAACTCCCCAACCTTTGTTATTCCCTGTCGTTTCGATTTTTAGGGTTTTCCTCTCATTTCCTCTCTTCCGCCGCTTCCTCATCGCATCTTTAAGGTTTTTCTTTTCTTCTTCTTTTTCCGATCTTCGAGTCGGTGTTGCTTCGTTCAATTTATTTGAGTCCTTCGCGTTTCCGATTATCGGTTCTGATTTATTTTTTTTCTTCCAGATTTTGTGAGATTCGTTCTTGTTGGGTTAAAGGTGTTGAAAGCGTGGTTTGTTGTGGCATATTAATCTGATTTCATCAATTCAGGTATATGTTTCTCTCTTTTTAGATTCCATTGTTTTCACTTTTTTTCTTATCATAGCGTGATTTTTAGATCTGATGATGATTTATTGATTTTGACCGTTCGAAGTGCTGATTTTGATATTGTTTAGCCCATGTAATTCTTGATCTTATGGGCATGCTTCGTCCTACACGGATATGTTTTCTTTTCTGTTTCTAATTTTTTTTTTTTGCGTTTCTTTGGTTCAATGATTTTTTTATGATTATTATTTCCTTTTGTCTAATAGAATTTCGTGTCTGTTGGTGGGTACTGTTTTTTCTCAGTGATTGTCACGTCCATGTCTAATTGAGTAGCTGGGACCTACTATTTGATTAATTGGTTGGGTTTGTATGTCCATTTTATTCTTTTGATATTCTGGTTTTGGGGTTTTTTTTTGTTTTTCAAAGTTAAGAATCTTCTCATGTTTCTGTTGCATGATATTTTTTCATTATTCATCATCGATTTAAAGGTTTTCAAATTACCAGTGTTGTATGCTAAATCTTTCAAATTGTTGTTTCATGCCGTTTGGTTGCTAGGGATATTTTTTTTCTTGTGCTTCTGTCTCCAAATTTTTCTTTGAATTTATCGGGTTGTTTGGCCAATTGCTAATCTGTCTGTTGATTGTGTTGAAACAGGTCTGAATGAACTAATGGAATCCAAAGGTGGGAAGAAGAAGTCTAGTAGTAGTAGTAGTAGTAATAAATCATTGTTCTACGAAGCTCCTCTCGGCTACAGCATTGAAGACGTTCGTCCCAACGGTGGAGTCAAGAAATTCAGATCTGCTGCATACTCCAACGTAAGTTTTTTTTCATTAGATGATAATAATAATGTATTTGGATTATTGATCTGTTCTAATACCTGTTTTTACGTTTCTTGTGCAGTGCGCTCGCAAGCCATCCTGATATCCCTTGCATGCAACCAGCGTTTTATTAGCTTTCCTTTTTGTTTTCTTTTAGGCTTGTTCGCTACTCTCCTTCAAACGACATCTTTCCAATCCCTCTCTTTGCGATCGTACTCTTTTGCAACTGTTCTTTCGTTCCCGACTGCGTTCATTTCTGAAACACGGCAATGGCAGTTTCTGCTATTGGTTTTGAAGGTTACGAGAAGAGGCTGGAGATAACCTTTTCCCAGCCAGGACTCTTTTCTGACCCTGATGGAAGGGGTCTAAGGTCTCTTACCAAATCCCAGTTGGATGAGATTCTGGCACCAGCTGAGTGCACCATTGTTTCTTCGCTGTCAAATGCTGAAGTTGACTCGTATGTTCTGTCTGAGTCCAGCCTTTTTGTTTATTCCTACAAGATCATCATTAAAACCTGTGGTACTACGAAGTTACTGCTTTCAATCCCACCCATATTGAAGTTGGCTGAGCTCCTTTCCCTCAAGGTTAGAACTGTAAGGTACACCCGAGGAAGTTTCATTTTTCCTGGTGCTCAGCCTTATCCCCATCGCCACTTTTCTGAGGAAGTAGCCATCCTGGATGGATACTTTGCGAAGCTTGGGGGAGGCAGCATGGCTTATATTATGGGTGGCTCGGACAAAACACAGAAATGGCATGTTTACTCTGCCTATGCTGATTCTGTGAGCACCTCTGACAATGTTTACACTCTAGAGATGTGCATGACTGGCTTAGACAGAGAGAAATCATTGGTTTTCTACAAAGAACAGTATGGTTCTGCAGCCTCGATGACGGTCAATTCTGGCATTAGAAACATTCTTCCAGATTCTCAGATATGTGATTTTGAGTTTGAACCGTGTGGTTATTCCATGAATTCTGTTGAAGGGGCTGCTGTTTCTACCATTCATGTTACTCCAGAAGATGGTTTTAGTTATGCTAGCTTTGAAACAGTGGGATATGATTTGAAAGCGGTGAATCTGAACAAATTGGTGGAGAGAGTATTGTCGTGTTTCCAACCAACCGAGTTTTCGGTAGCTGTTCATGTGGACAGTGCAAGCAAGTCATTTGAGCAGAGCTGTTTGCTGGATGTTAAGGGATACTGTCGCGAAGAGAGGAGCCACGAGGGGCTTGGAATGGGTGGTTCTGTTGTCTACCAAAAGTTCGCGAAGACTTCTGAATGTGGCTCACCTAGATCAACTCTGAAGTGCTGGAAAGATGAAGATGAAGAAGAGTAGTTTAGTGTTTTATGGTTGTGTCTTTTAATTAAAGTAAGACTTGCCTTTTAGGCATGTCCCTATGTTTTTCATTTGTTGTCTTTTTTACTCCGTGCAATTCTTGATGCACCTTTGGTTTGGGTCTGCTACTCGTTTATGTTTGAAGTATTTTACGTTGTTATTGTTCTTTTCCTTTGAATGTTGAATGGAATAAAGGTATTTTGTGTGCATATCTTGAAAACTTTTAATTCGTTGTATTGTTGAAGTGTGCAAATTTTAGGCCCGTGTTTGCTAAATCTCGAGCTCTTTTGAAATGTGCTGCTTCTGCTTGTTACCTCGCAATGCCCTAGACCTTAGGAGGTTCTGAAATCCTAAAGGGGTTCTATTTGATTATTTACTCTGAAATCCAAAAAGTGTTTCATTAGATATCATTTACGTTTCTTTTGCGATTTGCTCGTGTGGCAAATAACTCGTGTCTCGGCGTCCTTGCTCCTTTTGCGTCTTCGTGGCTGAACAATCTTTTCTAATTTCATTATATACTTTTAGGGCGGCTACTGCTACAATGGCACTCGCGACATGAAGTGGAGAATCGCACCTAATTTAATGATTTCGATACCGGTTTACATTAATTCATTATTTATTTTTGAATTTTAAGAAAATCATAGTAGAATTACATTTGGATGGGGCAAAACATTAAATTGCAAACCATTTTCCCATTTCTTGCTATTGACGGTAGCTACTTCATTTTGTTTTTAGTCGTTTTAGGAAAATGAGATACGTTTTGTTGAAAACTCCCTTACATTTCCGTGTTGTTGCTTGAGGTACTCAAGATTGACGTATTCAAATTTAATTTCGGCTATTTTGGAAATAAATTATCATCATCCTTGTGCAATAGCTGATATGAAGGAATCTATTGATTCTCTCCCAATTGGTTGGACCGTAGGTGCGATAATTTCCTTCACGGGCGAAGTATCTGGTTCAAGCTTGTTTGAACCTGAAAGTATTTTTCATTTTAAGCTTTTTTAAATAAGAACTAGCAGTGTAGTGTGAGAAAAAGAAAAAGTGAGACAGAGCCTGCTTGATCGTGTCACGTCTCATTTAAATAATACTTGATGCTAGATAGTTCAATAAGAGAAAGTTTGTTTATCTCCATAGTAGTTAGCAGATCTCATATCCTTTGTCATGAACTTAACTTGGCTTGTTCCTTTCTTGATTCTCGAGTTCGAGTGAATAGGAGGAGAAATTAACATACGGGAAAAACAAGTATAATGCTATAAGAAAGTGTTTATATTATGTTATAGACATAGAAATTGTGGAATCTACACTTATTTTTAAAATTCAAAAAAATAAAAAAGTGTGGGTTCCACGATCTCTGTCTCTATAACATAACTTAAACACTTTTCTACAATATTATACTTCCATTTCTCTTAATATATATATCAAAAAACAATGTAGCATTTCTTGTCTACCATTAAGTACATGCTTTTTATTTATTTATCTGTATTTAGTACATGTTTAACAATACATGATACTGAAAATTACGTGTTTGCTAATTACATAAAGGAAACGTTCTTTATGTATCTGGTGAACGAAGAGACCACAACGCAATTGGACCCTGATTTTTATGTCTTGTAACTGAACATTACCTATAAAAGACTTCCTAGTATTTTCTTTTGTTACAGGTGTTGGTATTTCAGATGTAATAACAGCAGTTTGGTAATATAATTTTAGATTAATTCCTTTTATATAATTTCTTTGTTATTTTTCATCTGTTCAGTATTCAGTAAGATATAGCCCAATTTACGGTGTTGTTAGAGTCCATCCAATTGATCAAAATGTTCGTTTCATATCAACAATTAATATATTTTTTTTTTCTTCATGCATTAGCGCTTTTTTTAACACTTCTAAGTGGAATGGTGAGAAAGCAAAGTCATTCAGAAAATGGTGTAGCATATAAAGTGATATCGTAAATCAGATTTGGTGGGGCATAAGTTACTCCAATGTTTACTTTTTCATGAATCATGACATTGGTTCATGCACATGTTTTGTCCTTTGTAATTGGCACCAACCAGAGTTACCTAAATAGTAAATTCCATTTGCATTAAAATGAGCAGCAGCCATAAACCCTCACTAGCAATCTTTGTTAATTGTGGCTTCTCGGTAACCCAAAGGAATGAAGTTGTATTCTGTTTGCACAAAATCGATGAAGGTTCCATTTTGATTTGGGGCTCAAACACTCTGTAGGAAGTTTTATTAATTGCTAAATAATATATAAGAAAGTTTTTCTTTAAATTCAATACCAGAAAGTATAAAGAATGATGTGCTTTTTAGTTTGTTTATTTTTTTTTACATCAAATTGTTTTAAAAAATATTCTTAGTATATGTCAAAGGAAAACCTTTATTCAACTTTTTCCTGTCAAAATTTCAACCTTGGAAATATATAACTTTTTCTTGATTTCAATTTATTCTAGTACTATACAATGGATAATTTACAAAGTTCCATACAATATTGCAATCATAAAAATTGATATATTTTACCAGAAAATGCAATTTTTAAAATCAATATTGTAAAAGAAAAAAAATATTATCATGCAATATTTTCACTAATAGTGGATTTTACATTGAATTTTATTAGGAGATGAGAATAAATCAGAAATTGAAATGTTTTTAAAAATTATTTTATAAGTTGGTAGACACAAATGTGGCTGTAGTTTAGTGGTAAGAATTCCACGTTGTGGCCGTGGAGACCTGGGCTCGAATCCCAGCAGCCACAGTTTTTTTCAATTTTCCATTTTTCTTCGAGAATTTAATTACAAGTTTCTGGCTTAATCATGTTATCTGAGCTAAATTGGCTTTCGAAATTTCGGATGTACAGATGCAAGTAGCTAGCCTTAATTGAGTGGTTGAGACTTTTACCGTTTTGATGCAAATTGGTGTTTAAATTACCACTTTGGTACAAGTTCAAAATTTTCATGGGCTTATTTTTGGAAAAAGTTATATTTATTATATTTTTTTTTACTATCTCTTATTATTAAATCTTAATCGTTGATTTTCATCAATCGAACGGTTATAATTTATTGAAATTAATAATTAATTAATAAGTATGACCAAACATATTAATAAGAGGTAGTAAGAAAAAGATAGTAAATATAACCTTCTCTTATTTTTTCAATATTATTTTATTGAAGTCGTGACTCTTGACAGGATAGAATTCTTGTTCTATATCTAGGGTCACGTTTGGCACTTCCCCAAAAATAAAAAAGAGGAAAAAAAATTGAAGGGAGAAATATTTAAGGTATAAACTTTAAGAAACTAAAAATATTTATTATCATGTTTGGTTACCATTGTTCAGGTCATAATAATAAGTTTGGCTAGTTAAGAAAGTGAGATAATTTTGTAAGCTCAAGCTCATCTTACCCTTTTAACTCACGAGTTGCTCAAACTTGATGTGTCAAGTTCAAATCCTATACTAAGTTGAGTTACAACTTCATTTTCATATTGGTTTCTTTCACTTTTATATTGATTTCCTGTGTTGTACGCTTGAATTTCTGCTCTCTTTCTAAGTTTAGAATTACTGACAATTTCTAATAGCTTGTGCATATGTGGCTATGTGGGGTTTGGGTAAGGTGAGGAAAAGACAAGAACAGAGTCTTGCTTTTTGTAGTGGTATCAGGAATTTTATAGGGGTATGTCAATCTCTTGTAACCACTACTAATGGAAAAGGAAAAAGTTGGGGTGGTAGCGTGTGTAGTATCCAAAGCTTTAAAGGGGTACCTCTTGGTTAAGAATTTATTCTATCTTTAACCCTTCATTGGCTGGTTCACGTGAATTTAAAGCTAGTGAGAAGCTTTATCTTTGACATGCACTGGCTCTGTGTTAATTAAAGCCATTTGTGATCTGGAACCAATGAAATAAAGCTTATTATAATCTATAGTGGGTTCTTTCTAGACATCTTTTAGTGTAATATTCCTTGGATCAACATTGAACTTGCAAGATTTCTTCCCTTGGTGATCACTATGCTGCCACATATTTACTTCTCCAATCAATTTAAGTTCAGTTTGAGATGCCTTAATATCTTATGTTAATCCAACAACTATTTTATTATCAGCATATTTACATAAATGATACAGCTAATATTCACAAGTTACACTATATAATAAGGGACATGATCCGTTTACAATTTTTTTTTTTGCAATTACACTAATGTAGGACCGGTCGTACACTGTGTGATTAATGTAGGACCGGTCCTACATAGTGTAGTTTGTAAATAAAAAAATTTGTAAATATAACCTGCCCCATATAATAAAGCCAAAGAGTTGCAGTTTTCTATGAGACTTGACATCACGATATCATGACCGACATATATGTATTTAGTACAAAATTGTTTGTAGGGAAGAAGTTCAAAGGTAGGATGTGGTGAATAGGTGAAATGAGAATTGGGTACAATGAAGGGAACAACAGGGTGTCAATTGTCAACAATTTTGGAAGCTTTATAATTGTCTTCTTTTCCTAAAGAACATGGCCAAAGGCATAATAATTATGTGGTAGGTTGGTACAATTTGTTATGATGAAGGGGTTCCTATCCCTTCATTGAAACATTCTTAGCGAGTAAAAAGAACAATGATTTCCTACTCATTTGGGATAACCCCATGTTGTATATCTTCATTAGGGTCATGGTCAACTTCTCTTTAATCCATTTCTTTGACTCTCTTTTTTGGGCGTCAAAGAACTTTCTATGCAGTTTTTTTTTTTTTTTTTTGGCAGTAGGGTTTGTTAATCAAGAGGAAGAGAAAGGTTCAAAGCTTTGAACAAGGAGATTGCAAAGGAGTCAAGCTTGTAAACACAAAAATTCTTCTATTGTTTTTTATTTATTTATTTATTTACGGTCATCCCCGTCCATTTGGATGAGATTGACCCCCAAAATTAGAGTTCCGAAGTTTTTGGCATTAATCTCAAATTTCTCTGCTTAAAAAATCGAATCAGAAACTTTTCGGTCACATCAATTCGTTTCTTGAACACAACCATCCCGCTTACAAAATGTGTTGGGAGTTAAAAAAACCCTCAATCTTTGTCAAGAAATAAAATGATTACGATATGGGAACATGCAAGTGGTCGTGTATGATAATAGGAAGTCTACAATCCCTACTACCCAAAATGGGTATTAGATGATGTTCTTGTTTAAATTAATAATGTGATCATTTGTGTACATAATTGCATAAGCGACGAGTTA